ACATCTTTCCTTCACAAAGACTAGGGAGAAAATTAAAAGGCAATGGGATCTGGTAGTCCATCACTTGAAAATATGGTTCAGGCCAAATACTGAGGTACCACGTTTGCTGGTTGCACGTTCTGTCAAGAATGTATCTACGCTCGTAACAATTCTACTCCCACCGAAGCAAATTTTCGTAGCTAACAAACTGACAGCTTTTTGAACAAAAATGATTTTAACGTCGGAAAATACAGTGAAACACAATAGAGTGTTGTGCATCAAATGGATAAAGTGTAACAGACATGCTAACAAAGAGAACTGAGTTCGGTGAAATACACTCATCTTTATACCAATTTGGTTTTGCCGGGAGACTCGCCTGGAACCCAGCTGAATTTCCTGTTCATGATGTTATTACCTGACTTTGGTTTTCTCCCAAAAATGTCTTGGACGTCAATGTCCCGATAAGTGGATATATGAAGCATTTAGGAGACTTATTAGGAACATTTATGATACAGATTAAATCGAACATCAATATTGACGTGAGCTTTGCACTACTGAGATCAACGAAGCTATCGAAACAATGGCTCGGAAGGAACCGTCACATAAACAAGTCAGAAAGATGGACTTAGCGTAAAAACGAATGGAAACAGTTCATTGCGCAAGAAGCAGAGAAGCCAAACTGAGGTTGACCAATTTTCGGGTCAGTTAAATAACACTACGCTGACAAGTCCTTGAAATTGTTCACCTGAATTCCCACGAAAACCAAGATGCGATTAAACGGCGGAGCAAGTTAAGACCACTTGATGTGAGCAATTTCCTGTTATCGCGATAAGTATAGGTGGATCGTGCGGTATTTAGAGACTTTCGTAACTGCCGTAAACTTCTTTTTTAAGACCATAGTGAAGATCACACAAGGGAAGTCACTTAGCGGTTGCATAGGTGCCGCCCTTGTGTTATTGCCTCCTCACACAGATTCCGTAGACAGATGGAAGCATTTCAGACCATTGCAAAATAATGCCCACCATTAATTATGGATTTCATGAGAACCATAAATGCAGAACAAGTGCACGCAGATACAGCAATAATGCCAACAACAGAACTGGCTGTACAGAAGAAAAGCTATATTCTGCTACCGTTCAAGTAGCAAAAAACCAAACCGATACATTATCTGCTAGTATATACATATACGTGGTTCCTGACATTAGGATACATCCTTTTCTATGGTCCCACCGTGTCACGTGACGAAAGAGAATAAGATATTATTAAGAGTGCGGTAAAAAACTTACCATAGATGAATGAAAATAGTCCTAATATTCTTATCCGAGAACACAAAACCAACGTACCAGAATCGTGTACTGACGTCATACAAAATTCAACGAGTAAAATACAGTGGCGTGGTTGATTTAATCGAGAAAAACGCATTCCGCTCCAGTTATTTCCCAAATTACCCAACCATTCACAGGTTGATGCAGGACAAGTATTCTGGCCAATCTGAACACCGATCACTTCTAGAGACCACACAACAGACTTCCGAAAAATAATTCCTGAAGTCTACAATACCACAAAAGTTACTTCCGTCTGGTACTTGGTACACCTTAGATCCATGAAAGAACCTTCTGGTCACCACTAGTTATCAGTATCATGGGGAAGCTGAGTCGCTCTCTTTTTATCTTAACCTACTAGGTCAGTGATTGCTTTTTGTTTTTCCCTTCGGCATCTTCATTCCTGGAATGAAATTTGGATGAGAATATAAATATTTGACCTCAAACATTTTATCGTTGGTTCGACATTACTTGCATAGTATTGTTGCTCACTTCACCAAAAGCTCGTACACAATGGGAAATATGAGTAGAAACTTCCATCCAGGGAGAAACTAGGGTGTCCTGCGCGCACTGAATTTATCCTGTTAGGTAAATGCGAGCATTGTACGCTACGGAAATTCCAAAATGAACCATTAGCAGCGAGGTTTATGAAAACCTTGTTGCCAATGTCTGAGTCGCAGGATCAATACTCAAAACCGTAGATTCATTAATCACTCCCTGTTGCTAGTTACATTATCTAAAACGGAACTGTTGCTTTCCAAACAGCGAAATTCCGCACAAGCCAAACTAAACCTCACTCAACCAATACAGATGACGTGTTCTAAACAGCCAATTAAAAATCGACGAGAAACCAGGAAGCACACTTCAGGATGCTCGGAGGCATAGTTCGATTTCAACCACCCACCCCCCCACCCCCTCAAAAAACCAAGGTATGAGCTTACAACGACGTGAAGCTTAAAGACAGTCCGCAATTAGCAAGCGAATATGAGCGGTTGGGATGTAATGGGTTACAGAAAAACAGCAACACGTAGCCCCTCACCGTAACTGAAGTTCATTAGCTAGGAGTGCTATCACTTGGCAACAGGACTTAAGGCCAACGCGGCCACCATCTTGGGTAGCTGGTGAACTCGATGTACGAAGTATGCTCTCTCACAGACAGATGTGCATCCGCTTTTACAACTTGACTGAGCAGGTAAATGCTGTAAAAAGTACACGGACCGGATATAAAGATAGTTAGACAACGGAAGTATCGTGATTGAAACCAGTTAGTCAGTTCTCAACCGAAACCAGCAGAGAAATACTGAGTTCACGGGTTATCCATATAGATTTGGTTTCAAGCGCGGTTCCAGTCAAACCTTTCTCGCTCCTACAGTAGCCTCCATAGCAGGGGACACCTCGGAAATAGAAAAATAGTTCTCCCTGCTAAGGGGATTCGCTACTGGAATGAAGGCGACATAAATAGCTTATTCAAGCCCTATAAATGAATGAACTGAACGCATTTACTTTCTCCAAGAGTAGTCAGATCACTCAGCCCCGCTAAGTAACAGACAAGGAGAAATCTTCAATCGTCTACAACCATTGCTGTGTTACCAAACGGCAAAACAACGTTGCCGGGCTTTATCGTAAACCAACAAACTGAGAAGGGAGAATTTCGCACGCATTGCGTCGGGGTCAGTGTTTTGTTCTCTGGGACGCTCAACTACCTCAAACAATCCTTGCAACTGAATATAAATTGGAAGAACTGAAGACTCCAGTCAGCAATAATCCATTCCGTTAAGGGCACCGGAAAAGGCCAATGGCGTTATGGTGTGACACTCCGATTTGCCTGTGCCCTGCCTAACCTGACTCTCCGAAACTGCCAGTCCCCGGAACTCGGACAGTGGCAAAATCTGACATCAACAACTGGCCATTAGCTGCGCTGAGCAACCGTGCTACGTACCTTTAGCTCTGCTCCTAGACTCTCAGACATGTCTACAGTGCAAGGATCAGTCGTCGACGGTCACGGCAAACGTGACTCAATCAGCCACCTCGAGCTCACCAGGTACGTGTTAGTGATGTCTTGATCGGCGAATGTATGAGTTATTACTCTCAGCTTGCGTCCTCTCCGAGCTCACCCATTGCTGTTTTATGCTCAGAGTTACTTTTGTAAGTGTTATCATTTTGCAGTGGTGTCCACCAAACCGGTATTTTCCTTAATGAATTCCTCGCTGATCGACACGTCGCTGTCGATGGGATCCCTGAGAAACGCCCGCAAGATTTTTATCGTTGGCAACTGAGAGCTTGAAAAATTCATTCACGTTGAGAACTTTGCACATGACCAAAGTGCTTTACTGAAAACTCGGCTTTCCCGTGTTCCTTTTCGAAAGAACCGAAGATTAAGTTTAGAAATTCGTGTACTGGACAGACGGAGCATGGATCGACAAACTGTAATCCTTACAGTTGGAAATGTGGGCAATGACCACAAGCCTGAAAAAACCGGAAAAAATTGCCCAACCGTCACGAGCGGTGAACTGCCCACGAACTGTGCTTGTTGGAACGGAGGAAAAATCGAATATGTCGGCGAATTTCGCAGAAATTCACACTAGTTTTCAAAGCCACCTTGCGTGGGCAAGTGGTCCACAGACCTGCCGCCAACCCTTTTTTCAATTATTGTATCATAACCAATACTATAATCAACTTAATTCAAACGTCCCAGAATACGGTCAATAGTGTATGGATTATCTCCCTTTTAAAACAGCTTCCCAGCCTGACTTGTCTAACAGTTGCAGTTGCACTGGTTGTAATGAAATGAACCAGACAGCGTAGGCGTCCAGAACTAGAAGCGGAAAAATAAGGCGAGCAGGGCGGTGAGGTACAGCAGGAAAAGAGGTAGGTAGTCCAACTTTCACAGCTCTTAGTTTCACTCAATTCAGAAACAATGATCAATTGATACCGGAGCGCGACCAGATTTAGTCACACGTGTATTGATTTCACTTTGATCAGCAGACTGGTGTTTGTAAGGTCTTAACAGTGAGTAAATATGACCTCAAAAGTAGCAACAGAAAGAAGTTCGTACCTTCCTTGATCTCAGAATTTTCCTTATTCCCTGCAAATATAGTGTGTGAAGAAGTATGCGAATATTCTATTTTTACGAATCACTGACCGGTTTCACCGTTGCGAATGCTGTAGGACAAAAATGGTTCTTCCCAGTATTCTGGTTCTGTATATGAAACACGCTTGCGGAAGAAGTTCGTGTTCTACTCAGTTGGCTACATTTGGCCTAATCAGTCAAGATATGCGTGCTATGTACAGCCAGGGTACTGAGTGACCGCCGGCACAGTAAAATTAAGGTCTCCAGTCCGTCGTGAGAGGAAAACGGAAAATGTTTGCCGCGGTAAAGATCAGGCCTAAGACGACGGGACAGCCTACCCTAGCAGGACAACTATCCAAACTGGACACGGCAGACGAATCAACGGAGTAAAGGACCGGAATTACACTAGCGTAGATAGCGAGTGTGGACGGGCGGCTAATCAGGTATTTGATGCACTTCACTAGTCGTCACGGCGCAGTTCGGTTAGACGGTTTGATGCAGCCATTCGAGCGCAGAATGCTCGACAAGGAACAGTCAGTAAATCAGGAGGAATACAGCGCAGCGGTGAACGACCCAAGTGTCACCATTTTGACACTGACTAGGTAATGTAAGCAAAATTATGAGCTAGAGGAAAATTTAAATGTAGACAGAAAATGATGTGAACACAAAAGCACGTTATAACTCTGTTGAGAATAAACCACCGAGAAATATCGTGGAATTTTTCAGGGGTTTGAAGTATCAGGTGCTTGGCTAGATGAGATTGGAGATGAATTTGAGTCCTTTCGCGGCGAAACAGGTGGAGGGGGAGGGGGCATCGGTGTTCTGTGAGGAAAACTTAGATTGCCAGGAGACGGTCCAGATTGTGTCGCACTTCGATTCAGTGTCAAAATATGACCGAATAGAAAATGTTGAACGACGGGATACTTATCGAGGACCTGAAAGATGGAGAGACAGATGAAAGTATTTCGCACAGAACAGGGTTGCAAATTCCGTTATGTGTCCTGATAAAAGCTCAGGAATTCCGAACGCCACAGAGATACCGTGAAAGTGACTGGATGGTTGCTAAGTTAAGTTGAAATCTGTATCGTGTTTTCCGGAAATATGACAGACTGTAACTTGATTATTGCAAAATCCTCCGAAATGCAGTATCTCCCAGTGAACAATAAAACAAGCGACCTTGGATAGCGTTACTGGTTACTATTGTAGCTAGTCAGGCGCTCCGAATAGAAGGAAATCACCAAATAGTTACGAACCAGCTCGAATGATGACTTGCACCACCTGGCCATATGCATGTATCCCATGTGTGTTGCGAGCCACCAGATGGCCCTCTACACTATGCTGTGAGTATCAACTACTTAGTTGTGCCTACTGTCCTAACTTGAGGGGGTCATCAGTGATTTTCCAGAGAGACATTCCGGTTTGATTATTACGCTACCTTGACTCTACTTTATACGCGTTTTATTGCATCATGCAGTATTATTCTGAGTTGTGATTTAGTGTGTCCTGTTGTATTCTGTCTATGCATAGTTCAAAGTATCCATCTGCAGAAGACCCACACAAATACCTCGGACATTCTGGAGTTCTAAGCCTACAACGGTGCCAGAGGGGACTCTCTGCGACCATCGTTCCGTAGATATTAGCTGGTCATGTATGCCTACGATGTGTCCACTTAGTGATGCAGACCAACAGACGCCCCTTTTTATGTACTGTGAGACACAACTGTTCGGTTGTGCCCACTTGAATCAGCAAATGTGGGTCACCTGATGAGTATACTGACGGTTGTAGAACCGCCTTCCCCTGTTCACCCTCCGACCCTATTCGTCGGGGTTTACACTTGGTACAAGAGGTCAATGTGCATCTATGCGAATCGTATTGACTGAGTGTGCGCGGATGTCTACGGGCGTAGTTCAATATGACAGAGCAATTCGGAAACAGATATCAGTTCATCATGTGTAATTATCTGTCTGCCACATAGGTACTGCCCAAAACACTGTGGACAGAAATGATTGCAGTTGAACGTGTGGAGCGGATCTACACCTAATGCGGCCACTACTCTTTCACAGTATTCTGATTCACTGAAGAAACAAAAATGCTGGATATGGAGAACTTCGAAAGTGCTGAACTACTCACAGTCGACATTATTCACATCTTACCTCGCCTTTGTACATTTTCACCAAACCAGACTGAACCTTTTCCCAGTACGGTACCTGGCAGATGCCATAAAGCGTAGGCGAGTGCTCCGCAAAGGGTCCGGTTTTAACCTATAGTGAGACAGACGGAAAACTTCAGCTTTTTCAGACAGGATTGCTTGAAACATCCTAGGGCACAAAATATGTCTGAGTGAACATACCTGGTAAATGTAGTCAATGCAGGAGAACAGAAGATTTCGATCTTTTTCAGTTTCCGCAATTTGTCGATCTGAAATTGAACTTGGTCCGTACTGATCGCTTCCTGAACGAAGATGGACAAAAATAAAGGGTTACCGATTAACATCAATTGTGTACCACAAGGCTGCTGTTCAGTGTTTCTACACCTATCGATTTGCATTGCCCAAGCATTTGTATTCGAACCTATCGTAATAAAGCGTTTTTTACAGAGTCTTTTGTTCCCTTGTCCACCAATCGTTCGTTGGAATGTACTAACAGTACTATCATCTCCCATGTGGTCAGCAGCAAGTCACACAAGATGACAGAAAGATCATTACCAGATTCGGGACATTAGGTGGGTTTCCGCTTCCGACAGTACGATGAATGATAAGCGAACGGCGGAATCACGGCTGACAACTTGCTCCGGTTGTAGATGGACCCTTTGAAACTCCTTTGACCACGCGCAGTGTTGGGATGCACCACCAACTGCAGTCGCTTTTTGACACACCCTTTGTGTAACAGCTTAGGACGCCGCACGAAAGCCGAGTTGGGATGGTTTTCAGACATTTTGTCTACTAATATTCTTCTAGCAAATTATAAATTAAGTTTCATTCGCCATCCTCATCACATGCTATATTGCGGTAATCCTTTTGAGAAATAATTTTCTTTTCATCATGTGGGACTGGCTACCTTCACCTGAAAAGTCCACTACAGAAGAAACAGTGCAACAGAAGGTTTCAGTGTTTGGCCTCATTCATGAGATCTGCTGGTAGAAACGTGACTGATGAGTGTAGCAGAGGGAGACTATTATTCATTCCGAAAAGCATTTATAACAGGTTTTACCCGCTGCCACTCCCACGATATCTGTGCAGCACTTTGAGAATCAGCTTAGATAGCACCAGCAAGGGTCGCTTGTATACGCTGAACAGATTTCACAGGGATCCAGCGGGACAGGAGACATGTTAAATGCAGACACAGATACGGAACTGTGTTATTACAGGGGTATCGGTGTTTTACATATCCATATTCCCATTCATAACATTGATAACAGATTAATCGAGCGTCTTCCACTGGGCAAATGAAAATGACAATAACTTCATATTAGAAGACAAGTCCTGAAACATCGTAGCACCAATCAGTTTCGTCTAGATGAGCCGTAGAAAAGAGTTCTCTATCGAATAAAATTTGCAACACCTTCCTTTGCTTGGTTCATAAGGACCCTCATACACTTGTGGGCAATTCCCTATTCTGAAATGGGCCTCAGTAACTCTCTGTGGCGTGCACCGTGCGGGGACACCTTGACTTGAGAAGATACGGACAAACGACAATCTACATTCCAAAATCCGTCTCCCTGTACTTTTTGTTTTTGTCGTACGAAGATTTTTGTTTAACTTAGAAACCTGGACCCCACTTTATGTTCTTTTTCATCTTCACTTTTAGCCCTACGAATAATACTGAATACCTACGCCTCTTCCATAACTAATTTGGTGGTGAGTATCCTTTCGCTCACCCAATTCTATCCTAAAACTGACTACAGCACACAAGTGAATATAATGGAGGGGAATCACAGGGAAACTAGTAATGCTGCCAAAACATTGTTGCCACCGTTAGTTTCAAACCAATTTTTACAGCATCAAACAACTCCCCACAGGTTGTAACCGTACAGTCAGCGACATTGCCGATGGGTGAGACCAACATTCAAGATCACGACCCACCGCCATAATACTGCCGGAAACCGAGGCCCAATTGGATTTTTGACTCTGGTGATGATTTTTTCCCACGCAGTAGCTATTTAATGCCAGTCATATGGTGGTGGCTCACACTGTAAATTTGACATCATCGGCAGCATAACATCAGTGTTCACACTGATACTTACTGCCAGAAACCGAGGCCCAATTGGATTTTTGACTCTGGTGATGATTTTTTCCCACGCAGTAGCTATTTAATGCCAGTCATATGGTGGTGGCTCACACTGTAAATTTGACATCATCGGCAGCATAACATCAGTGTTCAACACTGATACTTCGATGATGTATTAGGTATGACGGTTATACGTAGACTGGATTATTGCCAGGGGCATCCAGACCAGGAGATGAGGACGATCATAGTTTTCAGTCAGAGTCTTTGGGTCGAAACCCTAAATGGAAACGCAGTGAAGAAACCTAAAAAGCAAATTAACCTTCGGGGTAAAAATCGGCCCAAATTCTCGAGCAATTAGAGACGATGAAAGTACCATACGGAGTGCACCCTGATGTTATATGCACTCCGCGATCTATCGAACCACACGCGTTTTCACCGCAACCTCACTGTTTGCGCATGAAAATGTGTATACTTTGGTTACCAGGTGGTTATTCACATCGGGGATCGAAATAGCTCATTGGTTAATGTGCAAAATCAATGATGGGAAGATTCGCAGTTCAAATCCAACCACTGCATATCGACTGCTTTTGTCTAGAGTTAAGAAGCTTGGCAGTATCTCAGCTTTCGGACTTCTTCCGGGCGGCCTGGCAGTTAAGCATCGAAGGAGTGTCGCACCTAAACGGTTATTATCGGAAAACAAGACTAGGGCAAAGTCATATTACCACCCTGTGGTGCTGTTTCTGGTGATGTATTCCTGCCACCTTGTTTCAAAGCTTCTACGAAGCGCGTTCCAATTCGCCAGTGAGTGTGTAAGAGGCATTTTGAGTCCCGTCCCACATCCAACTACATAGACGTATGATGGGCTATCAAGTGGGTTGAGATAAGCGCTGCAAGTTGACCAGTGCAATATTTTAATGAGCAATATTTTCATGGCCAAACACGCACCATGAAGCTAGAAAAAACTGATCCTATGTTTTCTTATGACGTAAACGAAATGGAACTGTCAAGCTTAGCTGTTGTCATTCGATTGCCACTTCTGGGCACGAGACAAGAGAATGCTATACATCAACAAGGCAAGGCGAAAACCAACAGTAAGATATGAATTCTCCATCGCCTGAGAATACCGCAGCCCTAGAATCAATGAGATTCAAAGCCCGTAAGACAGACCAGCACTTCAGGTGAAATAAGGGACAAAGGTCTAGGATTCGAAAGCTGCTATAAAGCTGAACCGAACTGTCACCTGTATGTTCGGTAGAAGTATAACGAAGTGAGGGCTTGAAGTATCGAGTGAAAAAGACCGATATACACTACAAACTTGTTCAACAGAACGGTTGGCCGAATAATCATGTCCAATCCTTTTTACAAGTATTGCCGTCAAGTCTTGGCAAGTTTTATAATGGCATTTACCGCTTACTCACTCGAAATCATCCCATCTGATCAACTGGAGCGTATTTTAAAACATGTCCCCTCTTCCAAGCTTCTGCATGTGACAGGTGACATACACAAGCATTCGGGTTACCTCGGAATATATATCAAGACAATTTACCAACACGTCGATGATCAGTCAAAAAGCAACAGAATCATCATCATATCATATCATAACAAGTTAGATGTTGGCTCATTTAGACGAGGCCGAAAATTCCAACGGTCAATCTACGAGGACGTGGATTTAAGGGGTGAAAGATCCCGCTCACGTTAAGTCAGGATGCTCCAGCATTAAAATCAGGCCCTAGCTGGCTTGCATCGGCAGTAAAATGCTCATGCTAGTGTTTCCGGGACGGCTGAAAACTGACCTGTTGGCGTTATCATCATACTACTCATTCCTTTCAAAGTAGCATGGACTAAATGTTAAAGGAGGCTTGGAAGAGGAGTCCAATCCATGGGATTTCTAGTCTTCAAGTAACCTTGCTTAAGGCACACGATTGCTCCACGATATCCTGTAAACACGAAACATCAATCAAAAGTTCATCTGGATGAGGAAAATTGGGGTCAAATTTACAGATTTTTCAATGTTTAGGGAAGTCAAGGATGCTAAGGTGGGAAGTCCTTTATCAGCAACACAAAATCAGGTGGTGGAACTCACCGATTAATTGACTGCTACCCCAAATGAAGGGCACGAACTGGAAGTCATCAAGACACCAAACGCCATGAGACCCAGCCGGCTCCATTCTGTAATAGACTTGCAGCCGCCTGACTAAATGGAGATAGACAGGCATTACGACCAAACCGACCGCAGCGTAGTCGTTTAGGAGAGTGGTTTTTGAGGCGCCAAGAGCGGGAATTTGTAGCACTCCCAATTTGAACAAGCAGAACAGAAATGCAATGAATGCTAGTTCATGTCCGGTTCCGTAGTCTATTCGAGTGGCATTTCCCACAGATTCGATGAGATAACCCGCAACTTCAGCGATCGCTTCTTCGAAGGAAACTAATAGATCGATAAGTAATTTCGGTAAATAAGTGTGGACAGTTAGATAATGATATGGTAAGAAACAAATAAGCATAGTGAAACATGATAAGAATCACATGGAGACAAGATGGCTGTGACAAAAATATGAACGTATAACAAGAACTACCACTTGATAAATTTATTATACGCACGTGAATGACTTGTGAACTATATGGGTGTAATTATTGGAAATTAGATGCGGCGAAACTTTGGTACTGGTCGATAGGAAAAACGCGGAAACACATAAGAAATGAAATGGGGAATACTTCAAAGTGAATTGAAATGAACACTACCTCGGTTTTTAAAGACTTATAGTTGCGAGAACCACAGAAAATAGGAAGAGACAGAAAATGGTCCAGGATAAAGTAGGCGAACAGTTCAATCCCACAACGAGTAGTCGAAACTTTAATTAGATGGTTGGCTGGGAAATGAGTGGTTGCACAAATGAACAAAACGTGGAGAAGAACAGAAGCCTGTTTCGGTAGGTAAACCCGGCGACAGTAATTGAAAAGTAAGGCGATGGGGTAATCGCAATTACGTTCACGGAGGATTACTTAGGAAAAAGCTCGAGAATAACAACAGTACTCAAGGGGTTAATCTGCGCATGCCCGAGACAGGAAACAAACCATCCTAGGCGGTGTGTAGGGGGTTTTGACTCGCGGAAATCAAGATAAGTTCCTGTGGAATGTCGGGCGGATAAGGGTGCACTAAGAGGGGGACGTAAAGGTGCTGGATCCAGGGAACCTGTATCGATCTGCAGTGGGATGACGAAGGTAAATGAACGGATGGACTGACATGGAATGGTTGGATACTTCCAAACTAGGCGAACCCCAGTTCCGGATGGCGGCAAAATTGATACTGAATGCAGTGCAGGGTTGTCGCACAGCCGAAGTGAGACAGAAGCGGAAAGCGACGTAGGAATAAATCTTGCCCACCACTCTGCACGATTTTCGCGGGAAGAAGTTGGTTACTGTGCTGGACCGGAACAACCTACATACTGTGAAAAACGTACATGTGGTTGATACCAGAGCTGTGTACCAAAGTCAATTCATGACCTCACCTATCCTAAGGCTTTCAGTATAGGTGAGGGATATAAAACTGTGGGTTTTCCCGACTGTGGATGTACCAAAGAATCATTTGACGAAGGATGAATAGTCAGACTGCTTTATCTGGATGGTTGTCAATCTTGGAGGACGGCATCATAATCGCTAACCCGTAGACCAGGAGTTTATTCCAATGTTTCAAAGGAGATGTGCTCGGGTGTCGAAAAGTTCAGCTATAGGATAGATGATCATGCGAAGAGAAAAACATCGTGACTTTTCATCAGCAGCTAGGTAGTCTGGTTAAACCAAGATATCTACAACTAATCGGAATTCCCCAATTGCGCGTAGCACGGTGAAAAACAGACCAAAACTGTTACACAGAGGGCCATTTGTTTTTATCTCCCAACGTTCAGTTGATGAGTTTCAGCAAGTGTTCACGTAGTGGAGGTTTGGGAATCCCAAATCGTCTTCACCAAGACTGCTTAGTTCTTTTATTCGACGACATCGCTCAGTGCAGTTCGTCCGGTTCCAGAAAACATTAGGGTGGAATTAGAAACTAGTGTTCACCTGCTCTCGTCATGATGTTTACAAAAAAACAGTGACGACTAAATATTACAAAAGAACAGGGAATTCAAGGTGATAATAGACTTACGATCAGAAATGGTAGGTGCGGTGATACCATTCTTGTCGAACAGTAGGCATTTGCATAAATCCGCAGCGTTCGCTTTGAGCCAATTGAACCACGATCGGAATGCTTTATTGCCAAATCGTTGAGGCTGTTCTTCGGCTGGAAAAGTTTCGATCCTCTTCTCCAACTGCTGCAATAGCTCAGTTACCGATTGAATACCCTATAATGAATAGATATCAAAGGTCTCACATTCATACCTGAGACGTTGCCATTCCTTTTACGATCGGCTTTGAGGTGACGTGTTGGCTCACTGATTGGACAAAACTCACCAAATCCTGATAGGACTGTGAAGCTATCCAAGCGCGCATGTCAGCGGGTGAGTGAATCTTCTTCTCTAGCACCATCGTCAGTTTTGCAATGAGGCTCAAACGAGTGTACCCTATAAACACATAAAAGAGCTGAATATCAGCCATCAGTCCAATCATATGAAAAACCATTGCTAACTTGAAAACGGATTAAACCAAGAGCACCCATGAACCATTTCCAGTCTTCAGGAGATCATCGTAGACCAGTAAGTCGAATTCTCGATTCCAGTTAAGCCGTTCTCGGATAAAATCGGTGAACACTATCTATAAGGCAGTCCGTGGTAAAATCCTGTAGCTTACTTGCAGATAGAACACCTAAATACGCGGAGAATATTGCCATGGTTCCCGGATGACAACGAAGCCCACAAGGTGAGCACATAAACGAGGCTCGAAAACGAGAACTGACGCAATAAGAGTATGGAGAATCATACGTTCACGTCGTATATTTACTATGGACACGCAGTTCTACGACCAAGCGAAAATGCCCTTAAACAAGGGACCGGTACGACTAACTCACTAAAACAACACGCTTTATCCCACACCTATTGAAAAGCTTCACCAATGAAAAAGAGGGACGTGTATCTCACTATGGACTATAAAAGGAATATTCAACACGCCGACTACTCCTACAGAACAGTGTTTGTCCCTACTTCTCTTCATTTCGGTGACCCTCTCACAATTCTAATCACCAAATTAGCCATAACACGCTTCTCGTGAGCCGTCACGTCATCTGTCGGACAGATGGAAACAATCAAAGTAATGACGGTCCTGAGATCATAATGGACCAACAACTTTAAAGAATCGGATGGATTTTCTGAAGCTTATTTCTGCAGGCCAGCGCAAATAAGCCGAGAGAATACTCTTCTGAAATAGCAGTCGGAAGAGTCACATATGCACACAACGGTCGTCTTCAATTAAGGGCATCTCACTGCTGCGTTAGGCAGCCATACTGACTTCTGACAGTCGGTCAATCCGTTTAGTCACATTGCATGGATTTCCCGTCATCACCCCTGGGTATAGTCGGGCGCGCACATATCAGAGCACCCACAGGCAGCCATACTGACTTCTGACAGTCGGTTAATCCGTTTAGTCACATCGCATGGATTTCCCGTCATCATCCCTGGGTATAGTCGGGCGCGCGCATATCAGAGCACCCATAAATTCATTGACTTAGTCAGTTTACTGAACAATCGGGTAAGGTAGTATGATCACTGCTGACCAGTGGATCCGGTTCGCCTGCCAGTCATTCATTCACATACGAATGCTCCTGTTATACCGACACGTCTTGCGATGCCTACAGGCTTCCGCTATAAATTGTACTGCAACCACCGTTATGCTGTCTCATTCACCGACATACTCAGAGTCGCGTAATTAATCATGTGCTAATTTCCAAAATGCACTAGGTCCGTTTATATCGTTCGACATGAATCGCCAAAAACAAAGCGTTGGTACTTGCACGCACAACAGGCCCCCGGCGCTGCTGCAGTTGTAAGGTCCCGGGAAATTGCTACCTAATTTGTCTTTACTATTGCTTTTTCAGACCTAAAACCACTATCCATGAGATAGAAAACTTAGACTTGTTTGGTAGCATGCGGCTCATGTTCCGGAACTTTCTTCACTGTTCTTCAGGCTGCGTATGTAGCATTAAACGGATATTATTGTTTGATATCTCACATCGCCTGCTGATCAGTGTTCAGTGATTACTCGGCTAACATGGCCTGTGTGAGTGAATCAGTGAGAGTGCGACGCAGAATCCCATGATATTCACCGGCAGAAACGTCTAGATAATGATGGTGTGGTGAGCATGACTACTACGCCTCGATCATGAATTTGATTTCCGGGGAGACACGGAAAATTTAGTGAACAGAGTGAAAAGTAGAGCAGCCTGCCGGCCAAACTGCTTCAGAGTTCGCACAGTAAGGGTTTCGCTAAGACAGAGTAACAAGGTCTGAGAAGCGGACGCGAAGCTGTGGGTGTGTGCTTTTAGCCACTCCTCTGAAGGCAAGGTGACCTAAAGGGACCTAAAGTATACGGCTGAACAGTTGGACATGTGGTTCACACACACTGTGAGACTAAATTGCATCAAACCCAAGCCTCGTGTTTGTAGATGGACCGATTGATAGCCAAATTCGTATATCTGAGTAGTTGCATAAGTCCTGCTGGACTGGCGAAAGTAGTCACTTCCCGTATCAAAAAGGCCCAAGTGGAGTTTGCCAACATCTGATCAACCCCGCTGTAAATTACTGCAGTGTGATTCATCTTGTCATTTGGACCAAAGGCTCGGTCTCTGACCAGAGACCAGTTATAGTTAATAACCGAACATCACATCAATTGAGTGGATTTCATGTGCAGGCTATGGACCAAACGAAAGCATAACTTGGTTGGTCAGAAAGTCAGATAATCTAGATCCAGTATCTTTAGCTTGACGCTTCTCAACCCCTCACGAAGATTCTATCCCGACCTTGTAGAACATTCTGTGGTTACCCTATAAATACAGTTCCAATCATCCTCCTTGGTCTCCATAAAAGGCTGTCTGAAGCTACCGTGCCCTTTGATATACCATAGTGGGCGGAGGCCAAGGACCGACACAGAGTTGCACGACCATTCAGCAAGACACAACAGTCTCTGAATGTAGATCTTCGAAATCTCTGTACTCGTCCAACTTCTCACACTCCAGGTTATGCTGATTGGGTCCCGTGCTTCGTGTACAGGATAATGCGTCTCGCAGGGCCATTTTCCCAACCAAATGTCGGGCAACAACGATTTGACAGCGGTCGGTGCACGATTTGATAACAAAGTACGGAGACCACCACCGCTCAACTTATCCGCAGTGATAACTGCCGTCTTTCGAGCGAGATATTTCAACAACTGGTGACCTTGACACATATCACACTGTCAATCAGCAAACTACCTTCCTGTGACAAAGCTACCGCCTTTGAGACATAGCTCCCTTAATCCAAGTCGTAACAGATAAACAGAACCACCTAACGCTAATGAAGTGATTAGGCCACTGCCTTCAATGCTTTGTTGTTGTCCCTGTACTATGCTTTCCCTTGGTAAACGAAACTGCAACAGGCTCAACAAACATACCATGGTAGATAGTTCGTAGCTGAATTGCTGCATGATCGACAGCGCCTTAAGATGCAGGCGCGAACTGCATGCGAAAACGCCTGACAGAAGCATTTAGACAAGACTAGAAGTCATCAGTGACAAGATTTCAGATGGGCTCTTTAAGGGATTTATAGGGAATACATTTGCAACTAAGCCAACTCACACAATCTGAACCATATCGACAACACTTTCATGAGTCCCCGCCTAAAACACAAGGGCACCATTTTGAGTAGAGCCAAGTAGTAAGCCACTGAACATTTGTACGCAGAGTTGTGGTTAAGAGTGCACTAGTGATGCTTAAGGAGTGTTTGGGAAGAATACTGCGTAGTTCAAGATGTGGGAAATGAGGGACTCGCGGAAGCTTCCAATGAGCTTTGATTTCAAGGGGTCACGATTTTAACGAGAAAAGTAGGGATATTTTGCTAGAAAATCACAGCATGATGATGGGTCCTCTGATGAAACCAATTCAAACACCACAGACGAGTAAAACAATGGTATAGGTAAGTTGGTGAAGAGTGGAAGACTTGAGTACATAAAGGTAAACGCGTGGAGCAGTTAAACTAAGTGTGACCACTTACATAAGAGTCCATACAAGCACCGACATGAACGATCGATGTTGTCTGTTGAGTAAGCTGATGCAGGAGATTCCGGATATACTACATGGACGTCTATTGTATTCGGTAGTGCAGTTTATATTAGACCTTAATAAGCTACCATGGTGGTCAAGACTCAGCCCCTCCAGTAGCTGACACAAAGTGATGTACGGCTGAACCGCCTTTGGAGGATAAAAACCTCATCAAACTGTATAATTCCTCTACAAATGTGGAAATGACGTCAGAAGTGACGCTTATATCACTGATCCATGTGAAAAGGGCACTCTAACCAGTGATGCGCGCTCACACCGAACCACACACTTTAGGTCCCAAATAAAATAGCCATAGACTATAGTGACTTTTATTCGTGCACTTTCAATCGGTGGTTCTTAACTACCGTCGCAGAAACATTGAAAACGCCATTTTTAATTAAACGAACGAGTAAATAATGGCAATAAGCGTTCAGCTGTAGTGCCCTTTCTGTGTCGAGCTACTACGACACCCGGAGGAAACACGAGGGCGATGATACAACCAGGCTGTCCACGCATACACACGACCAGTCGATACACCGGTGTTCGGTCCGGACCAAGGACCACCAAGTCAGCAAGTTCGCACCTTATCCAATGATCTGTCTCGAGCTCAGTCTTTAGTTGACATTCGCCTTATGATAGCCAGATTGGAAATTCTAATCAGACGGTAACAGATGCCAGGTGTACATGTAACAGAAGGTACATCCCACATTATGGCGAACTGAGACACACTTTGTCCCTGAATCGCACTGGTAATGAGGTGAATCTTGTTAGCGACTGAAACTGAGTCCGACTGGCGCGCTAAAGACCCTAAGTGCCATCTAGTCATTCAAGGTGAGGAAATATATACGCAGGACAGAGAATGAGGGTTAGTTTCCGACAACAAATAGTTCGCATAAAGGAAGTTCACCCCGTGATCTTCACACCACAATTATGCAGTCCAAGGTTCAAAACGATATCTCATCGATATCAGTAGGTTTCTGACCTCTAGTCCAACCCTCTAAGCAATCAATAGCATATACTGAATCTACAAGGTCACTTAAGTCGCCGAGAATCGGACATACATGGTTATTTTTCAGCTGTTCGGAGGTGGTCATTCTCGGGCAATTCAGTTGAGCTGGCACACAGTTTGCGCATGAACAAGCGCACCGGTTACTGAACCGCCTTTGGAGGATAAAAACCTCATCAAACTGTATAATTCCTCTACAAATGTGGAAATGACGTCAGAAGTGACGCTTATATCACTGATCCATGTGAAAAGGGCACTCTAACCAGTGATGCGCGCTCACACCGAACCACACACTTTAGGTCCCAAATAAAATAGCCATAGACTATAGTGACTTTTATTCGTGCACTTTCAATCGGTGGTTCTTAACTACCGTCGCAGAAACATTGAAAACGCCATTTTTAATTAAACGAACGAGTAAATAATGGCAATAAGCGTTCAGCTGTAGTGCCCTTTCTGTGTCGAGCTACTACGACACCCGGAGGAAACACGAGGGCGATGATACAACCAGGCTGTCCACGCATACACACGACCAGTCGATACACCGGTGTTCGGTCCGGACCAAGGACCACCAAGTCAGCAAGTTCGCACCTTATCCAATGATCTGTCTCGAGCTCAGTCTTTAGTTGACATTCGCCTTATGCTAGCCAGATTGGAAATTCTAATCAGACGGTAACAGATGCCAGGTGTACATGTAACAGAAGGTACATCCCACATTATGGCGAACTGAGACACACTTTGTCCCTGAATCGCACTGGTAATGAGGTGAATCTTGTTAGCGACTGAAACTGAGTCCGACTGGCGCGCTAAAGACCCTAAGTGCCATCTAGTCATTCAAGGTGAGGAAATATATACGCAGGACAGAGAATGAGGGTTAGTTTCCGACAACAAATAGTTCGCATAAAGGAAGTTCACCCCGTGATCTTCACACCACAATTATGCAGTCCAAGGTTCAAAACGATATCTCATCGATATCAGTAGGTTTCTGACCTCTAGTCCAACCCTCTAAGCAATCAATAGCATATACTGAATCTACAAGGTCACTTAAGTCGCCGAGAATCGGACATACATGGTTATTTTTCAGCTGTTCGGAGGTGGTCATTCTCGGGCAATTCAGTTGAGCTGGCACACAGTTTGCGCATGAACAAGCGCACCGGTTAAAAACACAAAAAGCCTATTTGCATAGCCTTATTGGCTTTGGGTTTGTGAAAAGCACATGGTCAATAACCAAGGCATTGTTACACGCGTTTATAAAATACTTCAGCCTCAGTTGAATGGCATACTTCAATTACGATTTTTCTAGAAATTATTCAACCAAAGTACGCAACCGCAGGGCTCAACTATCGATATGCAGCAGAAGCCCGTCAATGGACACCAGCAGAACACCATTCAAACGAACCAGTTAGGTGTGAGAGACCGAAATATTCAACCGGAAAACCAATACTCGTAAGGAATATCAAACTGAACAGTTAGTCAACGGATAGTATAGGTAAAGAAGGCACGCCTCAACGCAGAAATACCACACTGTAATACAACCCAGTTTTATTGACTAATGAATTTAGGTAACATATCACAGATATACGTCATGAATAACGAATGGGAAACAACCGTGTCCCGGTGGTGATGATAAAACACACCCATTAGTGAACAGCAGTAGCCAAAACACATCCGGAAACACAGAAGCGAAAAATTAGGACTGGGCGACGGGGTCGTTTGTTGGCAAGAAATGATGATAGAAACCCTGAGTTAAATCCGTCATTAGATCCGGCGTGCATTCTGGCAATTCTGCAATCTGTCGACCAGGCGAGCCTCCGTACACCGTGAACGGGGGAACAACCGTTTCAGGAGGAAGAACAGTATTGTCCATAATAGCACACGCGTCTTTTAGCACACACCGCCGACCAATTACGCAATTTTTGCCTATGTGTACATATGATCCAATTTGAGCTGCGTTCACAACTGAATCCTCTTCAATAAACACATTATCTCCAATGTGCAAAGGGAAGAAAGCGACACCCTTGCTGAACTTCTTGAAGGGAGGTCGGATCACGGCCTTACGACCGATGACACAGTGTCGTCCTATACGGATGTTAGCCAAGTCGCCACGAATAATACAATCCGACATTATGATGGTCTTCCCGTTCAAAACGATATTTTGGCTTCCGCACAATATAGATTGTCGACTGACTTTGTTTCCACTGGTTGTTTCAATATAACGGTTCTTTGAATAGTAAACATCGGGCAATTCCATGCTGAAATGTGGAGGACAAATGTTGAGGAGACATCGTTTAATTATATATAACGATAATCGTTCAGCTGTAGCAGCCAAACCTAGACAAAAGCGGAGGTTGGGTTCGAACCACGGTTCGTCCGGGCCAAAATTGGCCGCCCCGACCACTGAGCTATCTCTGATCTGTCTACACAGACAAGCAAGTAACCTAGAATGTGATGAAGGAGAACCAGGCATAACATAACCAAGGGTCAACCCACGTCCTGAACAACCTGAAGATGGTGAAATGGAGTCACCAACGCTACAATTATGTTGCCACCTGGTTGGGATGATAAAGAATAGGAGAGCTGAATGTCTGATAAATGGGGAGAGTTTGATAGCAGCTACAACCCGAATACAACCGGCCTCTTGTGCTTTGGCAATCTGGCGGGAAACATTGATAAGAATTCCATCCCTAGGTTCTACACTAGCATAAGATATTACACTAACCACTTCCTATGACCTGAAAAACATTACATCAAAAGCACGTATCGGAACACACCGATGTTTTGTTCAACTACGATATAGAATGAACAGAAGGCAAAAAAATCGCTCAGCTGTGACATCATTCCTGTGCGTAGCTGCCATGCTACCCGAAGGAAGCACGAGGGCTGGGATACTGCCAGGTTGCCCAAGCCTAGACAGGGGAAATCGAGGCAGAGGTCGGATTTGAACCACGGACCTTCCAGCCAGTAAATTCGCGCTCTAACCACTTGAGCCATCCTTCAGAAGACAATGGTTAAATATTGTGGGCTAAAGTTGGTGGTCCCGGTTGAATGCAGTCAAGCACCTGCCTATAACTGGTGTGAACAGCTAGATGTTGGAGACTAGCTTTGATTCATCAGCGCCAGCAACTACACGAGTGGACGATGTCCTTCTGTGTTCTCCTGAGGGCTTAATTTGACAATCTTCAAGTGAACATTATCTAGGTCTTTTCTTATGCCCAGATACCAAAATTAATAATGTCTCACTCTTCAGAATCCTCAATTTAGAATACATGCAAGTCGTTATATCCAAAAAATCCCAGTTCGTCCCTCCACTCCAACGTGTTTTCACAAGCGTCCGGCGTCTGTTCCTTACTAAGTTAGATTTAAAATAAGAATAGAATAATTGTTCGACTGTAGCACCTTTTCGATATATGAGCCCTCAGTTCGCCGTAACAGAGTCTCCGAGGCATCATCAAAGTTGCCGTTGAGGGCTTTAGCAGGATCGGGTGTAAGTAGACAAGATAAAAGACAACACTGGACTTCCCGTTTGTGTGATTCCTTCACAGATGTTGTCAGACAAACCGTCTGAAGGCGAATATCAACAGTCGTCAAGTCCAGAAAGGGCAGTTCCCTCTTCGGGTCCTGAAGCTAAAACCGTAACCTTGTAATCGCACCTGCATCCTACAACGATCCCTACGCTAGCGTGGACTTCGTTTCATAACATGTCAGGAAGACTAAAGAGGTCAACCTCACTGAGACCGATGAGAACAAACAAGGGAAGTCGTGTTATGAGGCGGTCTACGGGTTCACATGTGCTGTCCCCTACAGAGGGCTTGTTAAGGCATCAGGATTAGACTCTTGAAACCACGGCTATAGCCAGGGTCCTCTCAAATACCCCCACACCAAACTGCAGTTGTGTGGGCCAAACTTCTGAGTTCAAGACTTAAGGTAGGTTATCTCACCAAAACCGTCATCCCAGGGCCGGGGCAATTAGTGAGTATAATCTGACCGCACAGTTCCGTGTCCACTGACGTCACTCTTCATCATAATAATCATCGCTAGCATAGCTTGCATGTTCTCAGTACCGAGATGGCCGAAGTGATTAGAGCGCGAATTTACTGACCAGAAGGTCCATGGTTCGAATCCGACCTCTGCCTCTCGACTTCCCCTGTCTAGGCTTGGGCAACCTGACAGTATCCCAGCCCTCGTGCCTCCTATGGGTGCCATGGCAGTTAGGCGCCTAAAGGGTGCTACAGCTGAACGATTTCAGTACTGACGCTTCGCGCCGTATATCGTTAAAACAGTTGCCATCCCACAGGCAGAGCGGATAGTGTCTTTCAGTAAGGCTCAACTTCAGAACAGGTGCTGTTCCAAAGGGACTTTAGCAGGTGGTTCTGGAAGGTTTGTTCCACACCAGCGCCCGAGAAGCTCTCAATTGTCAAGTGAGGAGTGCGCATCCCAAAAGGGCACAGCGAGAAGTGCCACCAAGAAGTGCATGATTCTAAGCCAAAACGATATTCCAGAACAATGTGGCCAATTTGTTTTGAAGCTTGGAGTATACGTGGAGGGCACAATGTGTGTAGTAGTTTCGAGAGTTCGTACTGCATAGTGTTTGGCTACAATAAAAACGACAGCAGAGGTTCACGTTGTCCGCAAGTCTCGATTCCGGTCAGGCGATACCACCCAATTAAGCTTCAGAAGAACTATGTCTACCTACTTGTGCAAGTACATTTCTTCGGCGCAAAAAAACCCTTACCACCATGCACTCATCGAAGAGAGTGGTGAGTTCCCCGTGGTTAAGGAGATGAACTAACTCTACAGCACCTGGTTTGAGGAAAGAACGCCGACAGAATGAAGCGTTTCGACGGTGATTCTTACTTTCACAAACCTGCAAAGACGTCATGCGGAAAACACTAGGGCATTATCCTGCGAAGGTTGATCCACCATCAAGAGATTCCGATCTGCAAGGATCAAGCTGTATTTCATTCTGTAACATGCATCGAGCGCATCTTCACTCTGCGACAAGCTTTGGATCTGCGGTACTTCTTCCAAAGACCAACAATGATCCTCTTTCTATAGCTCAGATTTGCTTTTGCAACCGTTGGTCATCAAAAACTGTGGCAGTCTCCGGCGATGAATGGTATCCCTTTGTTTGCTGAATAGAGTACTGTTTTACGTGCCCGATCCAGAGTGATGCAAACAGACGGGCGGTCAACCTTTGACCTAGTAGAGAGACAGGAGAGAGGCTAGACAAGTTTCAAGTCCGCGTGAATGGTTGGAGAAGCTGCAAACTGTGCTTGCTAAGCAGTTTCATTGGCGCTCTTGTCAGTTCGCAACATGATTGTATGAAGTGTCCGGAAGAGTGGCCGTCCCAGAATGATTGTGGCCAGCCAGCACCAAGTCCACTCCGCATTCACTTCTCAAAAATGCTTCCAAGCAAATTGTACAGAAGGAGGTATCAGCGTTGAGCAAGGATGTCATGTCATTGAGTATAGCTCGATGGAGGGGGCTGGTTTAGGGATTAGACCGCGAGTCTACTAGACGGAAGGTCCATGGTTCGGACCCGGCCTCTGCATCTCGACTTCTCCTGTCTTGCCTCGAGCATCACAGCCCTGGCGCTCCCACCATGACAGCAAGGCACAAAAGGGCCTTATAGCTGAACGATTATCTTGTTTTTTATCTCCTGTATATAGCTCCATGGGTTATGGAGGCGGACAAGTCGGGTAAGTGTGATGGCGCCGAGCTTGTGACTGTCTCTGTGTGCCGCATTCTCCCGACAATAGACCAGCCTGCACCAAATAACGCCACAGAACACCTCAAAAGTGCGACGGGTACCAGGCTAATACCACGATGGTTTTTACATGAAGATTTTGCACCCTTTTTGAAAACTGGAATGACGGCCAAGGAGATCCATTCGGCTGTTTTCGATGCGAAATCTTTTGCAGTATGGTTATCAAACCGTTCACCAGGACCTCATCACCTTGGAAGAGCGCGTGCTGTAGACCATCCGAGCCAGATACCCCATCACACTTCAGGACTGAAATCTAACGTTGGACTTCGGCTGCTGATGGCACGTTGGTGTCAATGTTCCATTTGGGCCCGTTTGGTTTTTCCAGTGGCTGTATTGAAGGAAACCAGCTGGAATATTCTTTGAAGTACTCAGCCTCCGCCGCTCCGTCTTTTTCGCATATTGTTTAACTGACACCTGTCTTCTTTTGACCGGTTGATCGAATCAGTGGAAACAAGGCACGGCTGTTGTCTGAAGTGAAAACCTCTATCCCCCGGGCCTTCGAAATCCACCAGCGTTCTTTCATTTTTTAAGCTCCTGATTATTCGGTTTGAGGGATCTGAATGCGCCATCATAGTTGTCAGTTACTGGTAAAGCTTTTCTGGCCACAATAAGATCTGCCGATCTCAACGATATCCGGTGTCCACTTAGTCGAGTCAAATGGACTAGAGCAGTGTCTCTTTAACACACCCATTCAACTACCAAGCAACATGACGTAGAGCGTATGCTGATACGACAAACACCGCTTACCGCATCGACCCGCGTTAATCTTAATTGAGCCAAGCAAACGCACAGCGCAAAGGTGACTGTTTTCTGAAATACAGTGCAGCAAGGAGCTTTCAGCTTTAAGGTAACTCCCAAACCGTAGATACCACGAGCCATTGCATCAGGATCACTAGAAACTCGAAGAGTGAAATGTGGATCATCTGAAATCGTCCTAAGGGGCTTGAGGGGTACGACCGAAGTGGAGTCTTGTAGGTGTTTCAGAAACATAATATACATCGATAGAAAGGAAGCAAGGTTTCAGCAAGGAATGTCTATTGCCCAATTTGACATAGAGTACGGACAGTAGAGGGTGTAACGCAGATAGGATCTTTTGAGGTCAGTATATGATTATTTTTGTTTCCTTTTCTGGGTAGAGGTCTATAAACTGAATGATGGCTAGGGAATTCGCAGATGGGTTGATTGTACTGCACTGTACGATGAGTGGGGATGGAATGCAGAAGGCCGGTGAGCGAAGACCTGCAAGGGCAAACTATACTACCCGGTTGCTCAAGCCGAAGAGGTACTTCATCTTCAGCTTGTGACTTGAAAGTCCGACCCACATGGCAGTGAGGTTTTGTTCGGGGATCCTGACCCTAGCCTCTGACTCAAAATTCTGAACCGCGAGACAGCTGTTGTTAGGGTTTCCTTGGACGACCCTCCCTGGAGCCAATGACACAACAGTCTGACCCACCTGGCTGCAGCGACCGGCCTGGCCCAAGGGTATAGGGAATGAGGCATTACTGTATCACGCCGTGTGTAGATGCGCACAGAAGGTGCTCTTGGAGCAGCACCAGACTCTTTGATTTTAAAAGTATTTTGACTGCATTAAATAATGCGCCCCTAGTCACGGTCAACCGCTGAGCGATCGAAGTGTGAGGTTTTGGGGGACGACTTTCTTGAAGGAAGGCAGTATCGCTGCTTCCATTAATATAGACAGGCTGGTCGCCTGGAGAAAACGTCTTGCTGCCTTCACACTCCTATCGCAACAATATACAGTACGACTTTAGCTTCATACCGCCCCACAATACGATTACTCGCAGCACGCGAACTACCCGTTCTTCATCGGGATGCTCCCCGTTAGCCGTCATGATATTGCTGAACCTTCAGGAACTGAGTTCCAGTCAGTACAGTCAACAGGATCATTGAAGCACAGAAGCCCAACCATCACGAGGCGACAGTTCAAAATTGGGGAGCCGGACTAACTGGAGATGGGATTGGTTAACAAATTACGAAGGCTAAGGCAGCTTTTTCTGACGAAAGCTGTCCGTGTTTGACCATCGGTGTCTCCAAGGTATTTGGTCTTGTAGGAACATTGGATTAACAATGATGAAGTAGGCAAGGCCGTTCTAGGAAGAAGGAACTCCATCACAATGGATGAACTACTCAAGCTTCGTAAGTTACGCTCGTTAGGATACGCACTTAGCATGATAGAGGACCATTTGCCTCACAGAGCTCTTTTCGCCCAGCCCTGTACTGGGTGGAAGCGACCGACAGTTGGAAAGCGCACGTCCCGAAAATGCAGTATGCAAACACTAACCCGGTTCGAAAATCGCCACCTCCCTGGAAGATGACCCCGGAACTCGACTCACCAATGGATAAAGGCGCTGATGAAAACGGCTCAATGGCGCATTCAGTGGCACCCGTGCATCAAAGTTATCGACTTCAACGCAAAGCTACCCAGTTCTAGAACTAAGTAGAAACGGAATTCCCTCCAACGCTTGGCTGTACCTCTCATGCTTTCTCACTTTCAGGTGATTGAATCTGAAGCAGGTGAAACCAATGTGCGCATGGCACATGGTTTATAGCTGGTGAACTGAGCCGAAATATTCTGGAACAGCGACAGTGCCTTCAACAACCGAAATCAGTGGTCTTCCGTGACTTGACAGTCTGTTTCGACCCTCTAAATCGTCAGGCATTAAGACAGTATCTACAGGGCTAAGGTGCCAACCACAGATTCTTGCCCATCCAAAACGCGCTGAACACCACCTCCCGTGGTAGCGTGCAGGCCCACAGTAAGCCCTCGCCTGAGTTCACTACGATTGATGTTAGGTAAGGATGTACTCTTTCACCTTTTCTTTTTATGTTCGTCACTTCCACGTGGGAGTAAATCTTCCATAAGTTCTGAAGCGTATGCATCAATGCCCGTGGAGTGAGGATGCTTGCATAGAGTTCGGTTATAAACATCAAGTGCGCGGAGGATACAGCCCTCCCTGGATGTATTACAACGGAAACGCAGATTACGTTAAATAATCCAAATTACTCTGCTTCAAGTTTTGGCTTGCGCCTCACCTGCAAAGTGTTATCATCAGAAATAAAGCATCAACACAAGCTTAAAAACCACAATGGCCCAATCCAAACAACCGAATGGCAGCAGGCTGTTGCAATGAATAATTATTCATTGCAACGCACAAACAGAGCAAAAAAACAGTATTAGGGTACCACTACGCACTTCGTCAGCAAAAGGCAACCATGTGTAGTATGCAAGCTGTAGAATCATCAGACAGTGATTCTCCTAAGTTATGGGTTTATGACAACTTCTGTGGATGGGAGACAGAAAGAAAGCTCGTTAGCTGAGGCCCAGTAAGAAAGGCTGTCCATTAACAAATACTTACACATAAATGAACCGTGCACCACACCTGCACCACAGCCTTCTCCAGTTAGACGCTGCAACGGCGACCAGACCTAGCCCGCAGCTGATTGGCCAACTGACGAGCGCTGGCTCGTCACTCCTCAAGGTCAACGTTGACTGCTGAAGTCGTAGACACATTGGCCAATCGCGTTCCAGCGCCTACTTGGTGATATTTGCCGGGGTGTTCTCTCGAAAGCGTCCGAACGTCGTTACTTGAACTTTAAACGCGACGCCTAACATGGATTCAACGCGCTCCGTGTGGCCCTGGTGTTCCTTCTGCTGAGAGCCGAGAACTGAGCTGAACCTAAGCTCTATTTCACATAACAATCCGGCTGAGCCAAGATAGCTTTTCATAAATGACGGACTGACACACTTGTTGCCGAATTGTGGGGGCCTGAAGAGAGGTGACTTGGTATACGGAACCGCACCATGGTGTGACTGGACTCAACTTGCAGACTCCGGAGCCACGGGTCTCTTCGAAGGGTGGATATCAGTCGGCTGATGGATAGATCGTCCAATTAGGCTTACGGAATTTCAGCTCTGGGTAGTCCCTAGGTCGTTGGGTGCGAAAGTGCGCTGAAAATATAGGCCGGTGGAAGAAAATTCCGGGACAGCGCATTGCCACAATTCCAGCCAGCGCAACCGGCCTTAATTGAAATCAGCAAACTGGTGTATTCTCACAAGTATCTGTATCACCTTCAATTTGAAGATTGTTTTTTACACGTGTTACGCAAATACAAGCGGAAAATTTCTCCTTTTCACCATCGGAAGTGCCGCTTTTGACAGCAAAAACCCATAACACAAGCAGGCACGTGTTCCTATGTCCAGAGGTAAGGCCGGATAACCAGACGGTTCAAAAGTGAGCGCTCTCTGGAACCCACTCAAGCACAGCGCATTCATCCATTAGACTAAGTGGAACTTCCGTGCAATCAATTTTAATCACAAATACCTCTAGATAACCAGGCATATCAGGGTGACCTAAAAAGCACGAAGTTGCTTGAGTTCGCACCAGTGTTATATGCATGCAGCAAAAGCCATCAACGAGAGGGTGCAAGTTCTTGGCGTGTAGCGCGTTTTTAATGGTTTCATACGGGTTGCGGGCTGTGTTGCCAGCGGTTAGACGCCCAATGCATTTTTCTGCAAAACCCCTACAGGCGAAACAAAAATTTTAGAGTCAAAATGTTGCATTTCTTTGCATATATGCGTGGACAGAAAACCCCCCCTCATCTGCCGTCATTTTTTGGGATTTGTTTTAATCGATCCCTTTTGAAAATTATTGGCGCATGTTCGGCTTTGAACTTCGTCTGCTATGGCTTCGGAAGTGGCTTTCGTTGAGAAATTTGTGGGTGTCGTTTGCGTCACGAATGGGTGTACAACAAATAAAGCAGGCGCCCTCCAAGACCAACGGAAGGCCGTAAAATCCGAAGAAGCTAGTAAGCTGAGCGTATTTTCTAATAAAATACATACGCGAAGCACCAGCTGTCCAGTGCGGTTTTGTCTGCGGAGGCAAAGGAACCAACTGGCATTGACCTCTTATTTTCTGGAACACAACCACAAACTGTCAAAGTTTCTTTACGATCGGCTTTCAGTCAATCGACGCTTAACCGAAGACGAGTTGGGCAC